TGATCAAATAAAGATAACCAGAATACTACACATCATAACCATCCCCTTTCACCTTCGTAGGCATTTTCCTCCACTCCTCCCTTGCCTAACACACTCGTCAGGCCCATCAGGCTAATTCCATCTCCTCTATCGTCCGTAGACCTCCAAAATCAACTAAGCACTTAAGCCCCATCTGCCATCACCAATAGAACAAACTGATCCACCAAATGATACCAATTGCTTGGCAGACACTGATTACTCTCTGAGGCTCTCAAAACTTCAACATAAATTCAACTCAAACACTTCTTAGCACATCATTTCTTTTTCTCTCAATTGGTAGTAAGCATACATATTCATTTGTTTGTTTCCCATTTAGTCCCACCTCTCTGTGCAACATGTAAGCTGTTGCGTAAATGAAAACCATCTGAATCAGAAAACATATTAACATCTTTCGGATTAAATAATTTAAGGCAGTTCTTCATTGGATAACTTACTTTTATGTTGAACTTTTTCTTAATCTGCGAGCGGTAAAATCCCACGTATGTTCCGATTGACACAGTGAAAGCAATGGCCAAATATAGAAAGAAATGTCGCCTGGTGATAATAAACGCTAGCAGGTTGGAGAGGGCAATGACAAGAAGAATCGAGTAAAAAAATCCCTGCATAATCAGTACGTTGAATTTAGAATTAAAAAAATCAGCAATGAAAGAAATTGATAGGAAAACTGCTAACACAAGCACATAAAACTTCACTCTCTTAGCCATCCAAAAAAGTATGAAGTAAAAAACAATGCACAAGGATATTGTCCCAACTGTAGATAAATTCAGTCACGCTAACAAGGATACAGGGAGCAAGAAATATAATACACTTTATTTGTCAAAGGGAGTGAATATATTCGTAACTTGATGCAAAAAAATTATACAATTAATGCATGCACTCGGACACATACTGACCTAGAACAAAAATAGTCACATCAACATCTCTGAGTTAGAGGATCAATTTAACGAAAAGCACCAAGAAGAAAAATGTATATAGAATGAGTGCCCTATCTTAAGTGAATGATAAGTGTGTTTTACACGCTTATCTTTGCTTATAAACTTAACATATATTTGAAATTGAGCGAATTTCTACTTAGTACTTGTTTGACCCCCATTAGTTTAATTTATGGTTTGCTTTTCAACTACACATTCACACAATAAAATAGTTTATACGTATATCAAAAATATTTCCCTACTTTTTTAACCAAACATTCTTTTAAAAATAACTATTCAAAACTCTCTTTCTACAATAATGGTTGTCAAGGCTCTTAATTTAGTTTAAATATTGTCATTACATGTAAACAAAGACTTTGGAGGAGCTTGGAAGATTTGGAGCTTACTTGGAGGAAATTCACAAGTTTCAAGTGTGAAATTCGACTTATGGAAAGTTTGAGAACTAATTTGCACACTTAAGGAACTAGAGAATGACCAAATTTGGATGATTATGGAGGTTAGGGGACCAAATATGGAGGCTTTTGGAAGTTACAGGAGCAATATTGAAGATTTGGACAAAAAAGACCAAAAGCGTACAATAAACTTGAAACAAAAACCAAAACATAAAAAGATGAAAGTTGTAGGGGGTGTGATTGCAGTCAAATATGGCAATTGCATGCCTCGCCTGGAAAATTTGGCAAGATTTTTACCGCAGTTCAATCACAGTTTCCTTACCACGGCATGACCATGGCCCAGCCGGGAATTTAAGTTTTTTTTACCAGTTTTATTTCAGGGGTAATTTGGTCCTTTCAACCGCACTACTTTTAAAGTGGTTTGGACACTATATAAAGACCTATTTTAGGTCAAATTAAGGGAGACAATAGAGTATCAAAAGAGAACATACGAGAGGAGAGAATAAGAAAGCTAGAGTTTCAAGAAATTTACTCGAAGGCAAATTTCTAGTACAAGAGATTCATCTTTTTCTTTAAAATTGATTCCAATACCGTTTTGTGATTTTCTTCTTATATGATGCATAACTAAATCGTTAGTTGAGATGAACTATGTTACCTAGATTTGAACATTTAATTCCAGTTCTCAAAATTTACGGAGTTAATTGTTTTATGTGTTGATTTTAATTCTTCTTAATGCTTGTATTAGTTGGTCACTAATTCATGATTTGTGGATTGTAACAAATTAAAAGGTAAGTTACAAGCTTAGACCAAGTGGTAAATTCAGCAATTGGGTAAAAGGTAGAGATGCACGTTTATTATTGTTGCAGTCTTTAATTGAATTCCTAGGTGATTTAATGTGTTTAGTTAAGGCTTATTCGGATTCATATAGAGATATATTGAGTTGATTCACTAGATTTGATTGATTTGACTCAAGAAACGTAAATTGATTTAATTAGTGCATTCGACCGAGTACAACATCAGAATTAAACCTGAGAATCCTGTGTTGCAACGCTTAAATCATCCTATTTAATCTGTAATTGTTTTTATTTTCCTTAGTGTTAATATTAGCATTAATCAAAAACTCTTCTTGATTTTTTTTAAAAAAAATAAGAGGTGGGGTTATTTAAATTGATATTAGGATTAATCTCTGTGGTTTACTAGTTGTTTAATTGACATATTATCACACTGACAACAGTGAACATGAGTGTTTGATTCTTAAAAAGAATTAGTATATACCTGAAGAAAGCAAGAACCAAACCCAGCTCGTTTCATGTTCCTCCCAAATCTATAACATGGACAGCTGCAATACATAACAAGCTAATTACACACTGTCACGCGCTTAATCCGAATGCTTGACGAAAGATACATCTTTAGTCCGAAAAGTAAACTTGCAACTGATAAATTCCCAAAATGAGTACATCTATTCATTAAACATGCAGATATGCAGACTAACCTTACAGACTTCAAATTTAGTGAAAGTGTAAGATAAAGTAACTAACAGATAGCAATTCTATAAAAATTAAAAGACAATTAAGTATTCGAATATCTGAATCCACATGAACAATTTAAAAACCTTTTCTACAAATTAATTACTGGTTAAAACCTATTTTCTATAAATTAAATAGGAAATAAATCTTAATAATAGACGATTGGGCATTCGACAATCTGGTAAATTTTACTCAGTTAAAAACCCAGTTACCCAGAATACCCAAGATTAGACATATACAACAAATAAATAAATAAAGAGTAAAAACAGCGAAAATGAATTGGTTGGTAAGAAGGTAATAAATGAAGTCGATACCAGGTGGATTGCAGAGCGATTTGACGGTGATCGAAGCAATCATAGATAAGTTCACCTTCCCACATCCTGAACACTCCCCCTCCGTTTTCATTGTTCCTAAACAAAATGGCTTCTTCCTCATCTTCGTTGCTTTCATTCAGTTTTCCCCACGTCCCCTTTTCGGCCTGCATGGCAACCGTGGAGCACAACATATCAAAATCCAATACAGCCATTCCCTCCATCAACAGCATTTCCTCCTCCTCCTGCTTGGCGGCTGCGGCATCTCTCTTCTCCAAACCCGTCATCATTTCAATCAAAAGAGTATATATATTTCCTTTAATGTTTATGCAGGTATTCCATTTATGTAATCCGTCTAGAGATTTTATGAGGGAGAAAGGAGAAAGGGTATAAGATAACGATGGCGATTTAGGGGAGAAAAGGGAAAGAGGAAAGTGAGTTGGATTTTGGTGGCGCGAGTAATTACAGAAAAGACGGTCACGGATAATGACGGTCCATCTGGTGCCACGTGTACGGATAAATGAAATTAGGCTCTTGGATGTGTACAGTTGATTA